TGAGTTTCTTATGGAACCCATCAAACCTGCCTGCTGACGACTAAATCAGTCCTTTCACTACGTAAATCAGTGGTGTCCAAAGTCCGGCTTCAGGGCCAAATGTGACCTGTGGACAGATTTTGGGCCTGTTTTAGAGTGTGTTATAAGTGGCCCACCAGCCAGTACACTGCAGTTCCTTCTTTCACCTGATGGTGGCAGCAGTGCTCTAAGATTACTGTGTAATGTGCTGCCCTGCGGTAACGAAGTTCACCCAAGAGCCTTTCTTCTCTGACTGACCTGCAGATTCATTTACTGACCACATTTAGTCCAGACAGCAGCCATAAAGCTCAGACCAACACTGAGAGCCACAGATTTAGATGGAAATCTGAATTTTTTCATTGAGAGACGCAGAAAACGAGCCTCATATTTCAAAACTGTAATGAATTTAATACCAACAGACATGAAAAACAGCAGAACATCACAGTAAATATTCAGGAGAGAAACGAAAGCAGCTGCAGCTCCGAGTCTCACAGCACCGACTTCATATCAGAGCAGATTCAGCAGGTCAGTGAATATTAACCCTTTAAGGAGGAACAATAACGTTTAATCTGATCTTCTCCTTTAATACAGTGATGTCTGAATGAGGTCACTGTGTTTATCTGATATGTAAAGAACATACAAAACTCACAAAACTGAAAAATGTATTAATTTGTTTAGTTCTCACAAATTGTATTTTTGAATAAGTAAACACTTTAATAGGAATATAATTAATATATTAGTCGTTTTATTGTTACTCTAATTGTTACTGTTACTGTTCCAAACTGCTCTGATTATTCCAGCAGTAAAAGAAGCCTCAGACATCTTTTATACAGTGATAGGAAACGCGGTCACTCGGTCGCTGATTCTGTGCGCTGATATTTTGAAAATGTTATTTTCAGTCTTTGGTGAATAAAATTATAGCCCTCGGGTGTTTTGACACGGTACCAGCTGGCCCTCTGTTAAATAAAGTTTGGACACTCCTGACTGAAATAATACTGTCTAATTTTAAATTTCCTTTTTTTTCCCAACAGTTAATTTTTACCAGTAGTTACATATTCCAAGTACACCACATTCCAAGTACACCACATTCCAAGTACACCACATGGAGACTGGGTAGGCGGAGCTGCAGCAGTGTGACTTTCCATTGGCTGTAAGAGCTGCAGGCTGAACAGACACACACTTTAGAACAGATTGAAACAACTGTACATGGTTTCCAATGAAAATAGTTACCGAGATTTTCGAAACCTGAGTCGTTCCGGCCCATCTCAAACTCCCGGAATGGGGTCCCGGTGCGTTCTGGCCTGTTCCCGCGCCGGTCCGGGCTGCGTCTGGTGTGAACTGGCTGTAGATGGACTCGTGCCGGGTGGTGTTTTGGCGTGTAAAGTGTTCGGCCTGCGCCCCTCACCCTCTCTGAATGCTGACTTCCTGTCTGTTAGTCAAGAAAGGGTTCCGGATCCTCCTGCCTGATCCAGCTTTGCCTCATTTAGGCTCGAGAAAAGCTGCACTTTGCAAACAAAAAAAGTCATTTCTTTAACAACGACAACAGCGACGAACACCCATCACCCTCCAGTGCTCTCTGCTGTGTGCTGTGTTTTGGCTGTGTTACCATGGTTACGGTGTGACCAGTTTCTCTCTCTCTGCCTGTGTTGGAACAGTGAGTGCCGATTACTCAAAGCGATTACAGTAGGTCCTGGTACTGTCAGGTAGCACTACCAGGTCAAAAGGTCAAACAGGTAACACCAATGCTTAGCCATGCCTGCCTGCCTCCTCCTTCTTTCCTTTCTCTCTTTTTTCTCTTTCTTTTTCTGTTTTCTTCCTTTCTATCTCTCTCACTGTAACCATAACCAGACCAGGTGATCCTACAGTATCGCTTTGGTTATAGAGATGTTAGAAAGAACAGTAGATGCTAAGTATTAATAACATAAAATAACATAATGCTGCGATGTTATTTATGTTATTTCCCTCGTGAAGAACTCCTGTAAACCTTGCAGTATTGAAACTCAGTGAACAAGGCATCTTAGACAAGCTGAAAAACAAGTGGTGGTACGATAAAGGGGAATGTGGGACCAAGGATTCGGGAAGTAAGGTCAGTTTCCATAGCGACACACATCCAAAAATCACTTAGATTTAAGAACGCATACTGAACCCTGCCACTCTTCTCCATTCGGCCTTCTTATTATTTAAAGCCACAGATAAGACGTGAGTACTGGAGAAGCCCACAGCGCCTCCTACAGTACTGGTCTTTAATATTTAACATGAGTCAACTTTCATTTAAGCAACACTACATCACCACCTGCACACACGCACACAGCGCATGATCAGTAGGTTAAGTATCGTAATAGTTAATGAAGTTAAAGTATATAAAGTTAAGTTCTTCATAGAGTGTTTAGGCTTAAGCACCATTTCTGTAATTGATTTAATATTTCATTAGAGAACAGAGAGTTTTAGAATATGCAGTTGTATGTTTAAGGTGAGACACTACAGGAGAAAAGGGTTTGCATGAAAAACACGACAATTTTTGCCAGTTGATTATTAATATACTTATAAATAGTTTTTGTGTTGCAAGTTTTGTATATAAATAAATCCAGCATAAATCCAGCTTCAATCCAGCTGTGATTGGAAATCCTGATTTAAATTACGCAGGAATTCTAGAAGTAGAGATTTTTGTCTTTAAAAGTGCAGAAAGGCTGATTTGAGATTTTTAGCAATGCACCTCAGAGATTGTTGTCATTAGTACAAAGAAAATAATCATAATTTGATGTTCTAGTTTAATTCAATGGAAAAATAGTTTTTCAGTGAAATATGACATGAAGCTAAGTGTGGGCGGAGCTAAGCCTTGGACTACATGCCAAAATAATAAAATTTATATTGAGTTTTTGTTGTATTTGCAATTTATCCAAAAATCTGAAAAAAAGAAGATTGATGCCCAACATCGTCATTTCCGCCTGTGGTGTCTTGCCTTAAGTAAAGAACTGAAACTGATTCTTTGTGTTTAATTTACATTCAGGTTTGTTTTTAAATGTTGTTCTAGTGTAAGTAAGTCAGTATTTCACTGGTGCTGTTTTACAGTATCATTCAGCTAAACTGTGTAAGTTGTTTAGATCTGTAAGGTTAAATTTCAGGCTCTTCTGCTGCTGCAGCTCCAGACGCTCTGGCACCTGAAACGCAGTTTATCGGCGTGCGACCGATTTGCACGTGTAACTGCGTGTACCGCGTTCGCTAACATTGTTTGGTGCAAAACATAAACGCTTCCTCTGGCTCCGCCCCCTCTCTCAACCTCACCAAGGATCACTGTGCAGGAGAGTGTTGCCGTGGTGACATTAAAACTGAGAGACGGCCCGGAGAGACAAGCGCGGTGTTGCGCGCCATGGCGTTACGGAACGCGGCACACCGGCTGTTTAACCTTCTGAGACCCAAACGCACAACACTAACACGGCTGCACATACAGCCCTGTAACCACGGCAACCTCACCGCCTCTCTGCCCCCGTAACCATGACAACTACACACAGCTCAGCTGCGGTGACGGCGTTGCCACCTCCGTTGCCATGACGACCGCTCTCATAGGGTTAAAATGTGAACGGTCCCGTGCTGAGCGAACGTGTTTTGCGAGTGCGAGGTGGGTTGCCGCGGCAGCAGAATGGCGGGAGTGTGTGTGTGTGAGCGAGCGAGCGCAAGTTGTTGAGGCTTGTCTGCTGCTTGATATGTGACGCTGCTCCATGGGCCAGCCGAGCATGCCGGTGTCCTTCAGTGAGTTTTGAAAGCTGTGAAGTTTGCAGAAGTAGTTCAGAGAGGGGAATCGCCATAATAACATTTTACCACTTTAACCTTCCTCACCCTCCTCTTCCTCACGGCCTCCCGGAGACACCAAAGAACCAGGACTTTACCGATAGCTTCACGATCTTAATCTGAGTTAATGTTTCTGCTGATTCATGTTCCCTCCTGATGCCTCAGTGTTGGCTCTGCAGCGGTGTGTGTGTGTGTCTGTGTGTGTGTGTGTGTGTGTTCGTGATTGTGTCTCTCAGGCCAGTGGAGTGAATGGAGGATGAAAGAGAGGAAAAATGTATAAGCTCCGCCCCTTTGAGCCAACCTGAGCGGTTAGTCCAGAGATACTTTAACACTCTGAGGCCTTACACATCAGGCCATTCAGTCCAACTTAATCCAAATCAGGCCATACAGTCCATCTTAGTCCAGATCAGGCCATTCAGTCCAACTTGGTCCAAATTAGGCCATAAAGTCCATTTTAGTCCAAATCAGGCCATACAGCCCAAATCAGGCCCTATAGTCTAAATCAGCGTCTACAGTCTAAATCAGTCCTTACAAATCAGGCCTTGCAGTTCCAATCAGGTCCTACAAATGAGGTCCTGCAGTCCAAATCAGGCATTGCAGTCTAATTCAGGCCTTACAGTCTAAATCAGGCCCTGCAGTTTAAATCTGTCCCCAGAGTCTAAATCAGTCCCTATAAATCAGTCCCTGAAGTCCAAATCAGGCCCTACAGTCTAAAGAAGGCCTTACAGTCTAAATCAGTCCCTATAAATCAGGCCTTACGATTTCAAATTCCAGAGCCCAAAATTAGTCTCTGGTGTGTAAATCTGACTTTGCGGTCTAAATCAGGCCTTACGGTCCGAGGCAAACCCTGAAAGTCCAAATCCATTTCTACTTTTCACTGGTAACCAGTGAGCACTGGTGCCCAGTTAATGCAGCTGGCTGACACTCTGGTAATCACACTTGACTGCTGGGAAATCTGCAGTTGAAGTATCTCTGGATTAACGTCTCATCTGTAACCTCCCTCCAGGCACACGCCTCCCTCGTCCTTCCCACCAACACGTCCTTCCTCTTTACCCCGATCTCTCCAGCTCCTCCGCGAGTGTGAGTGTGTGCACACGCGAGTGTGAGCGAGTGTGTGTGCTCGTGCATGCGGTAGTGTGTGTGTAGTGTAACACTGTAGGCGAATGTGTATGTGATGGCATCTCTGTGCTCTGCAG